ACTGGTACTGACACTTATCACACCTTACTCACAACTTAGTGTTGGATGGGCTGAAAAACACCCTACTATCTGCTGCTGTTCGCTTGTTATTATTTCAAAAACTGGGGTTATTATATACACAATAAATGTGGCTGTGCTACTAGTGTATTCAAGAGTCATCAAGAGTCATAATGAGTCATATGTGCAAGGTGAGTCATAGTGAGTCATAGTAAGTATTTTAGAGTGAGTCATAGTGAGTCATTGGGTATTTTGCTAAGTCATGTGACCTGTCCAACCCCTGATGACAAATCCAGAAGGAGAGTAAGAAGTGTCACATGATATGAATCCTGTGTGTGGCTGTCTTTGCTTTGCTTTGTTTGAAGGGTGAGAATGACGCGAGCCTAGTATTTAGGGGTTTACTAATGTTTTTCCAGGACAACATATGTGGGAAATATTTTTCACAGTCACCTGACATGTGTGGGATTTTGTCTGAGTCATCACCATGGCTGACTAAGCAAAACTCATCGCAGAATTAAATGTACTAAAATATTCAGGCTGCTGGTATACAGACTTGGAAAATAAAAAGAAAAGCAAAAAATATTCCTTTAGCCTCAGTCCAACTTCAGATAAGAGGGAAAAGGGTTTCATAGTGGTATTTCAAGGTATATGACTCATGAGAGAGTATTGGTTGTCCATGCACCAAACCGGTTTGGTGCAGGTCAGCGGTTTTTCAACCAGACTGCATAGTTGACCACCTCGGCCCACAGGTATTTCGGCAAATCATGTGCCAGGAGCATCGCCCGAGCATGCGATACTAACGTCCAGTTCAGGTGTTCTGCGACGCCGTTTTGCTGGGGAGAGTCATGGACAGTAAGTTGCTGTTCGATCCCTTGGTCCTGCAGGTACTTATCAAACTCTGCAGACATGTCCTCTCCTCCTCGATCTGAACAGAGTATCCGAATGCTCGTGTTCGGGTGCTGGCGCATGATGTTGGCCTCGTATTGTTTAAACACCGTAAGTGCCTCACTCTTTGCTTTTAAGAATCTGACCTTTGTTTCACGGGAGAAGTCATCCGTGAAGGAGATGTAGTAAGTACTACCGTTGATGCTTGCCATCTGGGCCGGACCCCACACATCTGTGTGGATTAATTCCGTGTAGGTAAGTGCCTGATTCTTGGTCTCGTCTGGAAACGGCTGACGTGTGGCCTTAGCTTTTACGCAGACTTCGCAAAATTCCAGTGCCGTCGACGTGTCGACATCCATCCCCACCACCATCTTCGCCTCTGCCATCTGCTTCACTGCAGATTGGGATATATGCCCGAGTATACAGTGGGCTTGCGATAAGGTAAGCTGTCCTTTCGCAACGTTTGCATGGTGCTTAGGGTGTGCGGTGATGGTATAGAGTCCATGGACTTGCGGTATCTCAGCGATCAGCGTCCTCTTTGGTCCCGCAGAGAAGATTCGACACACACGGCCTTCAAAATGGACAGCCAGTCCTGTGGCCGTTATCCGATTCGTGGATATGAGGGTAAAGGCCATCTTGGGCACATAAAGGGCATTGCGGAGAGTGACAGTGGTACATTTTGTACCCAGAGGTAAGTCTATTTTCACGTTTCCCCATCCTATCGCACTAACTTTTGATCTGTCAGCCGTTTGAATGTCCTGTGGGGCTATGGACTCAAAGTCCTCGAATCGTGAGTGATCAGGGCAAAAATGGGATGTTGCGCCGGAGTCCATTATGGCTCCACGGTGGGCCATAGGTACGTTGAGACCCTCCACTACACCTGCTAAGTCTGACGTAGCAAAGGCATAGTCATCTTTTGGGGGCTCTGGCTGGGACGCGGTATTGGCTGTTTGCTTCTGCAAACGGTCATTTCAACCTCTCCTCTGTCAGGGACCCTGTCCCTCCTTGTCTCCTCCCAGACGCCAACAGTCACTTTTGTAGTGGCCTTTTCGGTTGCAGTTGAAGCAGGTAATCTCCTGGTTCTTTTCGTTCGTGCTTCCCGATGGCTTGGGCCGTGAGTGATGTGGTCTGCCTGCCGAGAATGCAGCATCCTTCCCTTGTTTACTCGGACGACGTTCAGTAAGCTGCCGATGCTCATACTCCTTGGTGATAATGCTAATTAGTTCATAGGAGCTTAGTGGGGTCTTCGTGATCTTAGCAGCGGCGCTAATGGAGGACAGTAGAGGTCGGTAAGATTCTGGAAGGGATCCTAGGATGATGGCATGGAAATCCGTGTCGACAAGTATCACACCCATTCCTGCTAGCGACTCCCGCAGCCTCAACAACTCGGCGAAATGCGCCTTCACATCCCCTCCTTCCTCACATCTTGTCTCCTGCATGCGTCGACGTAAGTCTATCTGAACCAATTCCATTTTTCCTTCGTGTATCTGACATATTTCATCCCAAATATCAGATCCAGCTTTTAGCTTTTGGACCCTTAGTAGAAGGTGATCGGTGATTGTCGAGAAGATCTGTTGCTTTACCAGTGAGTTCTTTTGCTGGTATTCGTCGATCTTCTTGTCTAACTCGTCTATCTCAGTCTGCGAGGGCGTAGACCCGTCCGGCTTCGTAATGGCCTTCGTTTTGGGGTCAACATTGAACGGGGTAGGCTCGCTCGTGCGACCATCGGTATAGCGCATCAAACCTCAGGCACCTATAGCTGTTAACGTTCTTTCCTTATAGGTTATCCAGTTCGAGCTGTCCTCGGCAAGCTTCAGAACGTTAAACAGGCTGGAGTTGGTGCTGGGGAGCGCGGGTTCCATGGTCAGGTCAGGGCTCATAACCTGAAGAGATGAATGTCAAGCGGGACGTGTGAACACTAAGACAAAAGGTAAATCTCAGTCTCTCGTAGAAGAACTGAGATGTTCATACACTACAAAGACTTCTTTTAAAGGTGAGTAGCTTGGATACATGAATATTGAAGAAAAGATTGAACATATATTGTAGGACACGAGCCGACGTCACTCGTTGCTCGTCTACGTCCAAAATGGCATGTGCTCGTACCTCTCACTCTCCCCGTGTCACTATCTCGGATCTTTCGGTGCTCGATGAGTCGGATCTCTCGGCGCTCGACACCCTGCTCGTTAACAATCACATTGACTAGATCAAGCCAATTGCAATTGCTTAATGTCTGGACTAAAAAACTCCCCTTTTGGCAAGTGACTACGTGCAACACATCAAGACAATGAAGAAGACGGTCCACAAAGAAACCGACAGTGGGTCAACCCAATTTTCTATACCGCCACATCCTCAACAACAAAGGACGCGATGAAGGTACAACAATTCAGATGGTGAGTCTGAACAATGTTGGGTCTTGCAGAACCTAGCTGCTATTCGACCCTAAAGGGTTTCTGGACTAGGCTTAAGGCTCAGAGGAGAGGAAATATCATAGAAAACTACTGAGCACTCAGACTCATACTGGTAACTGGTGAAAAGATTGATTGCTTATGTAAGCTACAAAAGTGCCAACATAAGGTAAGGTAAAAACAGTCTTTACAAGCCCAGCCAGAAATGAATCCCTACAGCAACACCAGAGTTGCCTATCACGATGCGTGAAATGTACGGGGACAGATTTGTGCCTTTGAGGGATGCTGGAGATATGTGAACGAGCTATCACTTGATGGATGAAAGTGGTCCTTCAACTCCTTCAAAATCTCGAATTATACCAACAGAATCGGATGCATTGAAGGGTCAGTCACCTTGGTTGTACTTGAGATGGCCAGCTGACATGCCCATAGAACAAGCAAACACAATATTTACATCCATACTCCACACAGAAGTGACCCCCCCTTCCCCACGTCGACCCACTTCACCCCAGCGACCTACAACCTCTTCAAGTGCAACAACACTCCCACCTAGTACACTGACCCATAAACATATATTTCACTACACCTCACTGGCAACATCAGCAAACCCCAGCATGCCAACTCACAGACTAGACATGCCAACAGACGAGGCCTATTCCATGAGTCCCGTCCAAGCAGAATCTCAACAACTCCTTGAGTCCCCCAGAAGACAACTGCGCAGTGTCTGCAAAACACCCTATCGTGTTCTCGACGCACCAGAACTGGCAGATGATTTTTACCTCAACCTTGTGAATTGGAGCAATACGAATGTACTTGGTGTTGGACTAGGGAGCTGTGTATACCTATGGACAGCACATAACTCACCAGTCTCAAACGATACAATTGGCTCCGTTTCATGGTCCAAAAGGTCTGTATATATCCCCTTTTGATTAATTACTTGTGATTCGATGCTTTGATGTATGTTGCTTGCTATCGGAACTCTCTCAGGTAGAATGCACATCTACGATGCTAATACTCCAACTACAACACGTATATAACAATGCCCACATTCAATGCATCGGTGCTCTTATCAGGATCACAAGACCATATGGTGCACCATCAAGATGTCCGAGAAGCCTCTCACTGTCCATTCAAGTGGTGTGCAGGGCAGAGACATAATTATTCACTATATCTAGGGAGTGTTTGTACACTTTATTTTATAGTAACTTTGTTGCTACTCATCTGGTATTCTACTTGTTCACCATGCAAGTGAGTGTTTGCATGTGATCACTGGTAGGAGGGAGTTCAACTGCAAGATCATGTTCCCTGCCCAGTTTTACATAAGTAGGCATGTAAGACGAGGCTGAATTTGTTGCCCGATGTTCAAAAAGACATACAATACTATAAGATTTCTAGAGTCCTGATGTCCATCATGCTGTGCACAGAGGTCACGTCTTTGACTTGAGCAATGATATCACAATCCAATGTGATCCTCTTGTATCCTCCACTGCGCTGCTGGGCCAGCAAAAAAGCACCAAACGGCTGTCCGAGGTGAGCGATCAATCGCAATGCCTGTGAGTAAGGTTCCGAATCAGTCAATTCCTCTTTTCCAAGCAAGCTGTCAAGAGACCCAGGCTCAGACCAACCTCCCAAGCTTTGTGCATCGTCTGAGTCTGTGAAGTCAGGCAGCTCGAGTAGGCGACGATCCCAAGGACGGACAAGTAAGAATGTTTGTCAAGTTGGTCTGAGCAGCAAAAATTGGGCAAGCCTCTCTTCGGTGGTGATCAGCAGATCATCAAACCCATCTGCTTTGACTCCGTATGAGAACAATGTCCCTTCGGCTGCACCAGGTCTCTGCCTGACTTCAGTAACAGGAAATACGATGCAAGGCAGACGCAGCCTGCAATTCGCGAAGCCAGGATAGCTCATGTTGTTGAGCTGGTTGTAAAGTTTCAAAGCTTTATCCATAGCTACAGTGTGTCGTAGCAAAGAGATTGCTGTCTGGATCTCATCTTCAGACAAATATAGTAGGATGCATGGCGGAGCTGCATATGTGGTGATGTCAGCTGGAAGACAACTATTGAACTTGGATGGTTGTCTGACCCAGTCGAGGACAGTGATGTCCCATGAACGAGCCACGATCTCTTGCAGGAGTTGCCCGAGCGCATTTTGCGCATTTTTGCCGTAAAGGATGGGTAACTGAATGCCAAAGATACCAAACAATGAGTATGCAATGTCTTCTGGCACAGTGGTGACACACATAGACGCCCATTGTAACTTCTCTCGGACATCTTTCATGCCTGGTTGAAAGGCAACAAGAGCACATGCATCTATGCCTGTCGCATCCTCCAATTCATGCATGATCTCCACAGACTCCTTGTGGTTGAAAGAGATGTCATCGAGGTATGGAGTCCAATCCTGTTGGTAGAAGCGAATGACTTTAGGAGCGAGGAACTCCGGAACAGTCCATCCTTGGGTGTTCCAGACGCTCTTAGCCAGTGCCCCAGACTTGGACAAAGATGGGACATCTGAGAGGTAGACAACCGTGAACGCAGAATTGTGATACCAGGAAAATGCGGAGTTGAGTGATTTTTGGAGCTCGACATGGTTTTTCTGATCGATGCAACACATGTCAACCCAGGCCCAGTGAAATCCCACTTGAAGGACAACTTTGCAAAATGACTGCAACTTCATGAGACCGGCTGCATTCAACTTGTACACGATCTTGTCTTGGATGTCATGCAGCAGCGGCTCGTTCTCACCCCATCGATGGGATAACATGACATAATGGAAGTACATCGCCACCGTGTCTGTGATGCACCCCATTGGGATATCTGCATGCTTCATAATCGATAATCGAAGCTGCTTGTACTCTGTGGTCATTTTGAAGGTGTTTATTTGTGCCTCTCGATCACATAAGATCCTGGTAGTTGTGTCAAGCATTTGAAGTGGTGTGGGGTCAAGCTGAATGTTTATGACCTTTCGAATGGCACACTCTGCTTCAGAGGGACTGACAGACTTGTCGCGCAGTTCTGAGGAAAGAGTTGAGCATTGGAATATGTGTGTTACATAGAACTTACTTCATATTTGCATGCTGTGAGTACTGGCCAATTTCGCAAGCATCATCTTCAAGGCCTCGATTGCTTCAATATAGTGTTGTGTGCCGTGAAGCGCCATGTGCTTCAACTGATATCCAACATGAGAGGAAGGCTCGAGCTCAATGACCTATGTATCGCCAAAGTGAGTATTAATTAACACACTACCTGAGCAGATGTCATTGTACCTTTTGCACATCAAGAAGGGCTTCCTCCCATAGCAATTGATCCAATTTTGCCTTGCTGCAGTTTGCAAATATGGTGCTGCTCATAGAATTCAGGGTTAAAGAGGGCTGCATGATGATGGGATTTGTGTTTAGTGCGAGAATCTGTGTCACGAAGCATGCTCGATTTGTGTTATTGGAACCAAGCACAGAAACACACCTTTGAAATAGAAACTTGGGCCTTGGTAGTGAGATGAGATGGCAAAAGGGCAGGAAATCAACAGAAACATGCCAATGATGCCAGTTTCTCTGGCAAAGCATCCTCAGGCACTGCCCAATCTGATATCATCTTATCCTGACCTCCACTCAGAATGTGCTCACCATCTATGTAGATACTAGTGGTATCCAGTGTCCACAAGGTTAAGTGCTGGAAGGAGATGATGGTTCAATCTGAGAGCAGCTGAAGATAAGCATGATTGTTAGAAGATCCAGAAATGATGAGTGTGCCCACAAGGGGATGTCTGACTTGTTTCCAAGGGACTGTATCCAACTCCCGTATTGTGAGTGTCAGGGAGCAGCTGTTTGATGATGCACCGCATTTTCTTGAATAAGTGAAAGAGGTCAATGCATTCCACATTTGGATAAGAACTATATGATCAATGGAAAGAGGGGGTGGAAGAATTGAACGAAAGGTACTACTAGGTGAATGAGGTGATGTACCTCTCTCCCTTATATATGAATTGCCTTGTCATGGAGCACTCGAGAAAGGTGGGATATTGCTCATTGCTGTAGTACTGTTGAGTATTGCTTTATGACGTAGAATCTAGAACACCTGCCCAACTAGTTAGTATTAAGACTGCCAACTCCATACAAGTGTGGGGTTTGGTAGAATGCAGTCAACATCACCGCAGCTTCGACCTCAAGAATAGGTGACCAGTGAATGTCCTAATTATAACTGATGGTCTAGATCGATCCTGTTTTTTGTGTCAGCCTTTCAAAGTATTTGGCCGAGTACAGCACTCCACATGCCTGTACAACTCCAATCGTCTCAGTCCAGGCTATCTATCATACTGACTCCAACCGTCCAAGCCCACACAAAACCAGTATGCCACTTTCAGTGCTCTCTAATCAGTTCAATCATGGGAGCAAAATGTGATTGTGCCGCATACTTGAAGATGATGAGGGCGAGCTCAGCTGGAAGGTTAAATCTAAATGAAATGGAAGGTTCCATGCTTGACGTGCGAGTAAGACATGAAGTTGGTTTGACTCATTTTACACAGTACTTGCCTCCTGAATTACAATGTCATCCGCAACAGTACTTGATGATAGCAGGTGGATAGTTATTATAGCCTAGTATAAGCGGCAGCCACCTCAGTCGGATACTGACACGCACCTTCAGTTGAGTTGATTATGTAATTTGACCTGAATTGATTGCTTCCACGCTCACGTGCACAATGAAATTAAAAAATTCTTGTTGGGCCTAATGCACAGAGACCTAAGGTATACACTACAGTAGATGCAATATGAATATGTGTTGCTGTTGTGTTGTTATTTAGCAATAAGTGAAGATTGTGCATTTCCCATGGAACGACAGTAGCATAAATATTAAAGATTCAGATGTGGCCAAGATGCGGCGGCTGCCTGACTTGCCCACGTTCGAACTCCGCTGGGTTGAGTTGATTATGTAATTTTACCTGAATTGATTGTGCCTTGTGTTCGGGCTTTGACTACAAGCCTTGGGGGTTGTTGGATGCTCGCAGTGGACCCTGCTCGTTGACGATCACGTTGACTAGATCAAGTCAATCGCAATTGCTTAATGTCCGGACTCAAAAACTCCCCTTTTGGCAAGCGACTACGCGCGACACATCAAGACAACGAAGAAGACGGTCCACGAAGAAACCGACAGCGGGTCAACCCAATTTTCTATACCGCCACATCCTCGACAACAAAGGACGCGACGCCAGAGTCGCCTATCACGATGCGCGAAATGTACGGGGACAGATTTGTGCCTTCGAGGGATGCTGGAGATATGCGAACGAGCTATCACTTGATGGATGAAAGTGGTCCTTCAACTCCTTCAAAATCTCGAATTATACCAACAGAATCGGATGCATTGAAGGGTCAGTCGCCTTGGTGGTACTTGGGATGGTCAGCTAACACGCCCATAGAACAAGCAAACGCAATATTCACATCCATACTCCACACAGAAGTGACCCCCCCTTCCCCACGTCGACCCACCTCACCCCAGCGACCTACAACCTCTTCAAGTGCAACAACAACCCTCCCACCTAGTACACCGACCCGTAAACGTATATTTCACTACACCTCACCGGCAACATCAGCAAACCCCAGCACGCCAACTCGCAGACTAGACACGCCAACAGACGAGGCCTATTCCATGAGTCCCGTCCGAGCAGAATCTCGACAACTCCTCGAGTCCCCCCGAAGACAATTACGCAGTGTCTGCAAAACGCCCTATCGCGTTCTCGACGCACCAGAACTGGCAGATGATTTTTACCTCAACCTCGTGGATTGGAGCAATACGAATGTACTTGGTGTTGGACTAGGGAGCTGCGTATACCTATGGACAGCACATAACGCAGCGGTTTCAAAACTATGCGATCTAGCAGGCTCAAACGATACAGTTAGCTCCGTCTCATGGGTCCAAAAGGTCCGTATATCCCCCCTTCTAATCAATCATTCTTGATTCGATGCTTTGATAGGGTACGTTGCTTGCTATCGGAACTCTCTCAGGTAGAATGCATATCTACGACGCTAATACTCTCCAACTACAACGCTTATATAAGAATGCCCACACTCAACGCATCGGTGCCCTGGCTTGGAATTCGCATATACTCTCGTCGGGATCGCGAGACCGTATGGTGCACCATCGAGACGTCCGAGAGCCCTCTCAGCGTCCGTTCAAGCGGTGTGCAGGGCACAGACAGGAAGTTTGTGGGTTGAAATGGGCGAGGGATGGGGGGCCGTTGGCAAGTGGGGGGAACGACAACAAAGTGTGTATATGGGATCTACGAGGTTCAAAACGTGCTTCTGTTGCTGGAAGTTCAACGTCAGGATCAGGGAGTGTGGAAGATGCAGGAGGAAGCGGAAGCGGAGACGCACCACTCTGGAAATTCCACGAACACACAGCAGCAGTCAAAGCGCTCGCCTGGGATCCACACGTGAGCGGGGTGCTTGCGACTGGAGGAGGGACGCAGGATAAACATATTCGCTTTTGGAATACGTTTAATGGGACGATGCTCAGTGAGCTTGATACTGGGAGTCAGGTGTGTCTTTCCTTCCCCCCTTCTTTCCTTGCCTATTTCTATTCACTCCGCTTTAAAAACTAAACTTCGACTGACACAGGTCTGCAACCTTATCTGGTCCCTAACCTCCCATGAACTCGTCAGCACCCATGGTTTCAGCAGCACCACAGCCCAAAATCAAATCTGTATCTGGAAATACCCGACGCTGAATATGGTGGCGTCTTTGACGGGGCATACGCATCGGGTTTTGTATCTTGCTATGAGTCCAGATGGTGAGTCGGCTTTCTTTGATGTCATTCAGGTCCGAACCTAGAGATGGAGATGCTCGGGTGCCGGGGTTGGTGCTGGGATGAGACGCTGATTCATGTTTCTAGGTGAGACGATCGTAACGGGTGCTGGGGATGAAACGCTTAGGTTCTGGAATGCGTTTCCGAAGAAGGAGGGTGGGGAGAAGCGGGAGACGAGGTTGGATTATGGGAGGCTTATCAGGTGATCTCGCTGCTCGAGGCTATGGGGAGATCCCGAACTACGCATGGCAGTTTCCTGAACCACGCAAGGCGGATTCCTAAGCTACGCATCGCATCCAGGGAATTCGGTGGACGTTGCTCAATGCGTTTGGCGCAGACGCTGCACAGGACGTCAAGCGCGGACACTGCACTCCCGACGTCGCGCTCTCATTTATACACTATATCCGCAAGTTAACATTCACACACCACATCATGGCATATGACTACACTACGCCACACCACTTTATCACTCACTCACTCAAACCAAACCACACCAAATCAACTACTTCAACAACCCAAACCAACACATCTACTTGGCTCGCTCAGTGCATATATGCACCCAGCTGATCCACTTTACATGCTCAGTGCACATGCCAAGCTCACATCATCACATCCATATGTCCTTTGTTCGTATGTTGTATGTCGTTTCCGATTTCAATTCCTCGCTCGAGTCCTACTTCGTTTTTTGTCTTTTCGATCTGTGAACTCACTCTTTCGTCGTGTCTCATCTTGTAAGTCACCCTCGTCTTCGTGAATAACACATACTCACTCGCTTTTTCTTGCTAGCGCTCAAATCAATGCTTCTTGTAGGGCTATCTGTTTGCTTTTCTCGTTTCGTTTGTTCTAGCTATACTATGGGCATGTCATCGTTTCCTCTTTTTTTTCGCGTTGTACTTGGAATTTCATGATGCATCGACGACGATCAACGATTTGATCATGATCACTTGTACGTGAGAGTATGTACCGGTACACCTGCGGCCCCGTACAGGGCGCTGAGACAACGCTCATACCAGATATATACTTGTCGAAACCATTTTATGACACAAGTTGTCGGCTTGAGAACAGCATGCTAGTAGCCAGCTTCCATAGCAACCACAGGGGGTCAGCGGCCAGGATTCATTAGTCGTACTTTGACTATGTCGGTCCTGCAGCATTGGTAATCCCTTCATGAATGTACTGAGGGACCTTGGGGAATTGTCTGAATCGGCAGTCCAACGACGAGTAGATGAACCAATGCATTCTATACAGATGAGTTATTATGTAAATAGAATAATAAAAACATGGATAGGACATATGACAATACATCATTATCATGTGAAGGACAGATGCCCGGATATAATGATACTTTTTCGAAGTGGTAAATAAAATAGGGGTATAACGCGTGGAAATGGTCAGAATTGAGAGATTTGAATGCTCGATGAATTTATAAATCATGTGAGTTGGAGGGTGCAGTTCCCTAGCCACGGCTAAATTGGCCAAGCCAAGCCCTTGAATATGTAAGCTGTACCTATGTAATGGCTTGGCCAGCCGCATTTCAGTTTCGGCTAAAGCCGGGCTCGAAGCCGGCGCCGCGGCAACACTA